TGCTAATTTTTTTTATTACAAAAGCTGCAGAAAAAAAAAGCAACCATGATTAAGATGGGGAGGTGAGGACAATAGCTTGGTATTCCTCAAATCACAGTAATTATGTTATTGAATGTGATCCAGCAATGTGCAAATAACACTGAAGGTGTGGTTAGGAGTAATATTAACAAAGGCACTGAGAAAAGTGAATAAAAAGAGAACTGGAAATAGAATGGATCTTCCAAAAAGCAGATAGGAAGAAATTGCTGCTGAACTGAACTTCATCCATTTTTAAAAGAAGTAAAATAAAGCTAGAAAGAGGCCTTTATTTATTGCATAAATGCAGATATGGACAATATGTTCTCTTATAGTCTGGGATTGTGGATAATTGAATGCTAAAATGAAGGAGAAACTTACAAAAGGGCCAAACAGGCACTAAAGAACAAAAGTGCAATGTGATGAACAGTACTGAGAAGAGTTCTCCCTGCTTAGCAAAATTGATTAATAAAACCAATGACCAGTGCACAATGGATTTGCAGAGATTTGAATGTTGCCGGTTTAATCCAAAAGATTGCACCAAGTTCATTTTGGGTTTGAATTTAAATAAGATAAACTTCATCTATCACTATTCAAAGCTCCCTCTGACCTTTTGGTACATGTCAGCAGAATAAGATTTTCATCAGAAAGGTCATTTTAATGTCAGAATATATTTATATTTCTTTTTTTAAGGAACACTCTTATTGCTATAGGGTAGATTAGGATCTTTGAAAGCCATTTCTCTCTACTTCATCTTCTCCCAAACAAAATCAAGATGGGCATATTCGGAGTCACTTTCCATGCTCATTCCCTATATGTGTGTGTTGTATATGTGAGTGTGTGTGTTCAAAGAGGGTACAAAATTAACCAAAACTCATACAGAATAAAGAAAGAAAGTTAAAGGAGAAAAAGAGTTAAAGGTCCAAAAAGAACAGTTAAAAAGATATAGAAAGAAGGAACTCCCAATTTCCTTTGCAGCAAATACAAGTATAATTACAAAGTTATCTCATACTCCATGGTTATCAAAAAGAACTCTCACTTTTCTCTATTAGCTAGTTTTCTTTTCCCCAAACCACAAATCATACGTGCATTTTCTTCTGTTTCATGCAAAAAAAGTCTATAAGGGGGTACCAGTCCCTTATAAATAAATGTAGAAGTTGCCTTTTCTATAATCAAGGAAGCCAGCCTAGCCATCTCTGCAAATCTCAACATCTTCAACAACCATTCCATTGTTGTGGGTAGTGTTGAACCTTCCCACTTTTAAGCATATAATAACCCCCTCTCTCTCTCTCTCTCTCTCCTGCTCATCTTCTCTCAGCTCCCTCTTATATCTCTCTCATCTTCTCTGCTCTCTATCTCTCCTCTCCTTCTCATCATCCTCTCTCTCTCTCTCTCTCTCTCCTCTCTCTCTCTCTCTCTCTCTCTCTCACTCTCTCTCTCTCTCTCTCTCATCTCATTCTCTCTCTCATCTCTATGTCTCTCGTACTCCTGTCTATCTTTCCCTCCCTCCCTCCCTCCCTCCCTCTCTCTCTCTCTTTCTCTCTCTCTGTGTGTATATGTATATGTATATGTATATGTATATGCTCCCATGTTTTTTTTTCTAGCTGCCTACCCATTAGACCCAAAAGAAAAGCCTTTGGTTTTAATTGTATTAGTCTTCAAATCATCTGAATTTATTTATTTATTAAATTAATATGCCGTTCATCGCAATGGAGTAGATTGAGCAAAAGACAGATACAGACAATGCTAATGAGGTACTGCCCTCTTGAGTAGGTTCTTGTTTCTAGAACCCCTATTAACACCCATAAAATGGTACCAGCAGTACTCCAGAAACTAGTTCTACCAGCAGTCTAAATAAGGTACTAGAAATATTTCAGTAATATACTCAATGTCCAGGAACAAGCACTAAAACCATCCAAGAAAGTTTTACCATGAAAGTCCAAGAACTGGAAATTAAATATGGCTGCCAGTCTCTGGACATACTATTGCTGTTGAATTTCAAGCACATTACTAGATAGATAGTTAGCAAAACAATTTGGGAAAAGAGAAAGAAACCCCCAAATCTGAAAAGCAGCTTGCTAAGGAATATAGGATACAAGAAATGTAAAACAAAAATTCAAAACCATTTCTAATTGAGATGGAGGGAATTCTATCCTCTGTTTCATTGTTTGACTGTAATAAACTTGATTTTGATTTGACATTTCTTTCTTTCTTTCTTTCTTTCTTTCTTTCTTTCTTTCTTTCTTTCTTTCCTGAAAGTGGGGCTACATGGAAACGCCTTATGAAAGGACTCATTTTGTGGCACTTTCTATTGTTTCCTGCAATTTTTTAAAATGTTTTACCTGATCATAAAAATTCAAACTTACTTCCCACATTTGCTTGAGATGAAGTTCATTGCCACTTTATAGAGAAAGAAAAAGATAGGGTTCACACCTCATTACAGACAAGGGAATTGGATCAATACAAAATTGCTGAGAATGATACTGATAAAGAAAGCTTTTGTAATAGATCCCATGACAATTCAGTGGTACAGAACATGCAAAAAGTTCTAGGCATCTCCAGTTACAGAATCTTAGTTACCAGGACTGGAAAAAACAGCTTCTGCTCAGAATAGAAGAATGCAACTGTCATTCATAAGAGATAATATTGGGTTAACAAATTAGTGGCATAAGTTGGTGGAAGATATGGATGGGAGCTGAAGAAGTTTCTTGGATGAGAAATAAAATGTCTTCAAAGAAAAACCAGAAAGTCCAGTTGCCTCTTGAAAAAGCATCTTTGGGACAACCATGACCTGGATGACTGAGAATCATAGACCTTTCAGCCTGTTTTTAATTCTGTTTTTAAACTATGCATTTATTCATGTATTTATATCGTTTTATTATGATGTTATAAGCCACCCAGAGTCACTAAGTGAGAATAAATAAATAAATAATAAATAAATAAATAAATAAATAAATGTAACCAATCAAATTAAATAAAAACCCTAAAGAAAGTAAATGAATTCCTGTACTTGGTTCCCTGAAGATGGAGAAATGGTTGGTAAATTTTACTAGTAGAACGATAGTGTGTAGTATGTGCTCTGTTGTGAGAAAGAAATTTCTGCTGAAACAAGCAAAATGACTGTATATAAGAAAGTGTTTCTGCATTATGGAAATAAGTGTATACAAACAGAAATATAAAGGAAAGTTGAATGCAGTGGGAATGGCACACTTAAAATATGTTTGTAGTAAAAGAAGATGAGAAAGGATGAAAAATGAATGGGTGCTAAAAGAATGTAGATTGCATATAAGAGTCAGTGATCAGTATGAAAGAAGTATTGAGGAGATGGTTTGATCACACAAAGAAAATGAATGAGAACTGAATTGAAAAACAAATATATGAAGGATGATTGAGTAGAACCAGAGGAAGGGGGGAGAAGAAACTTTTCATTCAATGGAGTCAATGAAATCCTCAAGAAAACAGAAGTGAGAAATGTAAAGAACAAAAGATAATGAAGTTGTGTACAGACATGCTAGATGATTTGCAAAAACAAAAAAATAGAGAGATGTGGAGTAAATAGTGGAGTAAACTGATTTTAGTCATGTTTCTTTTTCTTTTTCTTAATTCATATTGTTAATTCCTTTGTCTTTTTCATCATTCTGGTACTCTGGAAAGGATTGTGATGAACATGTATGTATAAATCAGGGATGGGTTCTACCTACCTTTACTACCGGTTTGCAATGGGGCCACGCGCGCAAAGAGAGAAGCATGCGCAGAAGCATTCTGATGACGTCGGGGTCAGTGGGTGGAGCCTCCTGATGGTTTTACTACCGGTTCTATAGAACCAGTCTGAACCAGGGTCAACCCACCACTGATATAAATACAAAGGTAACCAATTGCTTTCTTAAAATATAGTGAGGCATCTTCGGAAAGGCATACATTTTTAATATTTTGGAATACAAAAGATTAATACATTAATCACAACCCCTTTTGAAATGCTGTTTGGTTAGACTCACAGTTTACAGCTTTCTCTCTATAACCTACTATACCCCTATTAATTGCCCAAAAATGTATTTTTTTTATTTTGTTTCCAATTACAAGTTAGAACCCAACTAGGTTACAATACAGTGCAGAATTCTATGGTATTGTAAATAACTGGGAATTACAGTAGGGTTTTCAAACTACCAGAATTTAATTCAATTCATTTTGACAAATTAGAGATTATGGCAATTGTTTCATTGCTAGATAATTTCCAGCAGCAAAGGAAAAAAGAATAGGACATTTTCTGTTAATGTCCATTCTTTTTAGCAGAAGAGCCTTCTCAAAATCAGTTATGAACCTTTTTTTTTCCCCCCCGCAAGCCCTAATAACCTTTTGGTAGCACCATCAGGATCTGTGTGAATTTTCTGGAGGAAAAGTGGTTTTGTCCAAGCCATCCCCATATGCTAGACCATGTCAGCTGAAAGACAAGGAAGAGTATAATTTAGGGCTTGCCCTATTCTCAATGGCCTCGTTATGTAGAATTTCACTTTAATATGATCCAAATGACAGTAAGAAATGCATTTAGGGAATGTTAAAACATTCCCTATTAAAAATTCTGTGAGCATTTTTATATTCTAATTCATGTACAGTTAGAAGCCCCTGATAAAATCACAGTGCTGATTTGACTGCTGCACTCATCATATTAATGAGGATACTTTGTGCCTTTTAAAAACTGGGATACCGTCCATTATGTGATTGTACATGATGTGATTGCTATCAGCTCACACTCATTTTGTAATTCAGTTCCACCCCTCCTTTTGGTCAGTTTTCTATATAAGAAGAATTGCCAATGAACATGCACTGGGGGTTGAAGAACCATACCCAGAAGGAATTGCTTCTTTCTCTTTCTCTCTCTCTCTTTTAATTTAGTGTATGTATTGTAAAAAATAATGTATTTTCTTTGTGATGAATTTCTACATTTTCGTCTGGCAGAGATAGAAGAAACAAGAATTAAACCACTGAGATAAGAGCATCTGTGAGCACTGAGTTGTGGTGCTCTATCTTATTTTGCCAATCCATTTATAGGAGGTAAAGTGAACATGTCTTTCTGGAAATTTTTCAAAGTTGGAATATTCACTTTTCTCTGACCACCTGGAGTTCCTCTTGGTGGGTACCAGTTGGTTACTGCCATTTTCTTTCCAAAATTCCTTGGAGTTTTCCTCTGCAACGATACTGACAGCACTGTTCCACTAGAGACCTGCAGAAAAAATGTCAGCTTTTATGGTACTCTTATATTTGGAGAATATTCAGTACAGCTTTGTATATTTGTTGTGATTTTGGCAAGGACTGTTAAACAAATAATCTCAGACCTCTGAACCTACCAGATTTTTTAGTGTCAATAAAGTTTCCTGTGTTGTTCCCACTTCCCTGCCAAATATATAGCACTTAGATTTAGACTTATATACCCCTTCACAGTGCTTTACAGTCCTTTCTAAGCAGTTTACAGAGTCAGCATATTCAACAATCTGAGTCCTCATTTTACTGACCTTGGAAGGATGGAAGGCTGAGTCAACCTTGAGCCAGTGAGATTTGAATTGTTGAACTGCTGGCAATTGGCAGTCAGCAGAATTATTTATTTATTTATTTATTTATTATTTCTATTTCTATACCGCCCTTCTCCCGAAGGACTCAGGGCGGTGTACAGCCTATTTAAAAACACAAAAACAAAAACAACAGTTAAAATTTAAAATCATTAAATAATTAGGCTCCAATTAAAATCCCAGGAATTTAAAAATACCCCAATTTAAAACGTTATGTTCATAGCCCGGCCTGGCGGAACAACAGGGTCTTCAGAGCGCAGCGAAACACCCGGAGGTCGGGGATCTTATGTATTTCCGGGGGCAGTTCATTCCACAGGGCTGGGGCTCCCACAGAGAAGGCCCTCCCCCTGGGTGTCGCCAGCCGACATAACTTGGCCGATGGCACCCTGAGGAGACCCTCTCTGTGGGAGCGGACTGGTCGGTGGGAGGCTATTGGTGGCAGAAGTCGGTCTCGAAGGTACCCGGGTCCTATGCCATGGAGCGCTTTAAAGGTGGTAACCAACACCTTGAATCGCACCCGGAAGACCACTGGGAGCCAATGCAGCTCACGCAGGAGGGGTGTCACGTGGGCGCAACGAGTTGCACCCATAACCACCCGCGCGGCCGCATTCTGGACCAGTTGGAGCCTCCGAATGCTCTTCAAGGGGAGCCCCATGTAGAGAGCATTACAGTAGTCCAACCGGGAGGTGACAAGGGCATGAGTGACCGTGCGCAAGGCGTCCCGATCCAGAAAGGGCTGCAACTGGCGAATCAGGCGAACCTGATAAAAGGCCCCCCTGGCCACGGCTGTCATGTGCTCTTCTAAAGACAGCCGTGCGTCCAGGAGGACACCCAGATTGCGAGCCCTCTCTGTGGGGGGCAAAGATTCACCCCCAATAGTCAGCGATGGCACCTGCTGACTATATCGGGGCGCCGGAAGCCACAGCCACTCGGTCTTGGAGGGGTTGAGTCTGAGCCTGTTCCTCCCCATCCAGGCCCGCACGGCCTCCAGGCAGCGGGACATCACATCAAGGGCATCCTTGGGGTGGTCTGGAGTGGAGATGTACAGCTGCGTATTGCCAGCGTACAGATGACACTTCACCCCAAAACCACGGATGATCTCACCCAGCGGCTTCACATAAATGTTGAACAGGAGAGGCGAGAGGACCGACCCTTGTGGCACTCCCCATGCGAGATGCCTCGAGGTCGACCTCTGTCCTCCTGCCAACACAAACTGCGAGTGGTCGGAGAGGAAGGAGGAGAACCACCGCAAAACGGTGCCCCCTATTCCTAACCCCCCCAACCGCTGCAGCATGATACCATGGTCGATGGTATCAAAAGCCGCTGAGAGGTCTAATAGGACTAGGACAGAGGAGCAACCCCTGTCCCGAGCCCTCCAGAGATCATCCACCAACGCGACCAATGCCGTTTCTGTGCTGTACCCCTGCCTGAAGCCCGACTGGTACGGGTCCAGATAGATAGCTTCATCCAGGTGCTGGGGAAGTTGTCGTGCCACCACGCTCTCAACAACCTTCGCCACAAAACGAAGGTTGGAGACTGGACAATAGTTGGCTAATTCAGCCGGGTCCAGGGAAGGCTTCTTGAGGAGGGGCCTCACTACCGCCTCTTTCAAGGCGGCAGGAAAGGCACCCTCACTCAAAGAAGCACTTATGATCCCCTGGAGCCAGCCTCGTGTAACCTCCCGGGAGGCCAGCACCAACCAGGAGGGACACGGGTCCAATAAACACGTGGCAGCACTAGTCTTACCCAGGACCCTGTCCACATCCTCGGGAGTCACAGGATCAAACTCCTCCCAGAGAATTAGCCTGCAATACTGCATTCTAACCACTGCGTCACCACGGCTCCTAATGCAGACATCCTAATGCTTTCACATTAGTTTGTTTCTCTACAATCAGATGAAAGGCCTTCTTGACTTCAATTTCTATTTTTTTTTCTTTAAAGGCAGAAATTTGCTGTTGCCTTCTTCCTAGCCCTGAGAGAGAGAGAGTGAATGGTCCAATGTCACCCAATTGCGTTCTGTGCCTAAGGAAGAATTAGAACTCATGTCTCCCTAATCCTTGTCCTTCATTTTAGCCACCAGACCAAGCTGCCATTATCATGGCAGTTTTCAATGCGTCTCATTCACAGAACTGCAGGATTATTTAGGAACTTGTGCTAAAGTGAGATGTGAAGTACACAGCTTCACTGCTCCCAGCTACTCCTATGCTAAGCCAGCACAAATCAGTTTGTCACATTTCTAATTGCTTGAAGCCAAAGATAACCACTGCCAGCCAGAGTAGACAGCCATGAGCTTTATTTATAATGCCCAACATGATACCCTAGATTTATTCAATGGCATCCACATGGATGCCAGCTTCACCTTCCACTGATATCTTAGACTTAGACTTAGAATAACTTTATTGTCACTTTGAATGTACACTAATCGGCATACATTAAAATGAAATTTCATTGCATACAGTTCTCAAAGGTCACCACCTCCAATATACACTACATAAACATGACAAAATAAATAAATAAATACAAAATTATGCATATACTCACATATATTATTTGACCCGGAGAAACAACACAGTCTAGTTCAGATGTATACATGTACATGGCGAGACAAATAAATCTTGTGAGTTTACCAGATGGATGGCATAGGGAACAAAGCTGTTACAGAATCTGGTAGTCCTGCTAGAAATACTTTGAAACCTCCTCCCAGAGGGGAGCAACAGAACCAGACTGTGAAGTGGGTGTGTGGGGTCTCTAACAATGCTTTGAGCTCTAGGTACATAGCGCTTATAAGCATTATCCTGAATAACAGGAAGCGAGCTTCCTATAATCTTCTCGGTTGTCCTTACCACTCTCTGAATGGACTTTCTTTCTGACACACTGCAGTCACCAAACCAAACAGTGATGCAGTTTGTTAAAACGCTTTCAGTCGTGCCTCTGTAAAAAGTGGCCAGGACAGAAGGAGAAAGTCTTGTACTTTAGAGTGAAGTAGTATAAATGGGGAAAATGTCATCCTAAACATGGGATCTAATGAGAGCTTTGGGCCAGTTGAAGAGGATGGCAGGTATAATAGCAGCCTTCCCAGATGGATACAGACATGGCAGTCCTTGACCGAAAGCTAAGAAAAAGCTAGCAAGAACAAACCTTGCCAGCTCAAGAAAACATACCTAGTGGCAAGCACTCACAGCAATTCTTGAAGTTCCCCCTTTTCCAAGCAGCACTCTCCAAACAGATTTATAAATTCCAAATATGCCTTTAAGCCCAAACCCCTGAATTAGGCTAATTCAGAAGAAGACAATTTTGCACAGCTGTATCATCTTCTCAAACATACAGCATGAAATGGAAATGTAGATATCTCTTCTTGGAGTCTCCTTTTGTAGTTGCTCTATCAGAACAACCAGGTTTTTGCAACCTACCAGATCAATGAGATGGTGGAAGGTTGGTGAGAAATGAATAATATAGCTATAGAATTGCTACTCTTTTATCTTCTTGGTGGAAATTTAATTCTAAATTCTGTTTTGTCATGTGACCCACCTTTGCTAATAAGATGATGTTGTGAGACAAAGTTTTATTTATTTTTATTCTTTTTACAAAAGGCTAAACAGACTCTTTAAAGCCTGAGAAGTTACTAGATTGTTTATTTTGTCTTCTAATTTTATAAGCATATATCAGTGATGGCTAACCTTTTTGCCATCACGTACCAGGAGTGGGGGGACGAGTTGGTGAGTCATGTGCATGCGTACCCACACCCATAATTCTATGTGCCCCACCCCTGCACATGTGCGCATGACCCCCCCTCTCCCTCCCGCTCCTGGCATGTGATGGCATGATGGACCCATTAGGCCCATTTTTCTCTCTCCCCAGGCTCCAGAGCCTTTCTAGAAGCTTGGGGAAGGCAAAAATGGCCTTCCTCACACACACACACACACACACACACACACCGGAGGCCCTCTGGAGACTGGAAGTAGGCAAATGGGCCATTTTTGGCCTCCGGAGGGCCTCTGGGAGGGAAAGCCGTTTTCGCCCTCCCCAAGCTCCTAGAAAGGCTCTGGAGGCTGGGGAGAGCAAAAACGGGCCTTTGCCCCCCCGAGGCCCTCCAGAGGCAGGAAACAGCCTGTTTCCTTACTTCCGGTAGGCCCAGAAGGCCCGAAAATCAACTGGCGCGCCAGAGCTGAGCTTGCGTGCCCACCGATATGGCTATGTGTGCCACCTGTGGCACGCGTGCCATAGCTTCGCCATCACGGGCATATATTATACATCTGGTCTTTGTTGGCAATGCTGAAAGATCTGTGTATCTTTGTTTCACTCAACGCTGCTGATCAGGTCTGTTGGTATTGTTTGTGATCTACCTCTCCACTTCTCTGATTGGTATCTTTGGGTCTCTTTTGATAAAGAAAGCTCCAAGATAAGGCTGGATTTCAGATGTGAAAACTTTTCAAAGATAGTTTGTTAATAAAAATGTAAGGAGGGCAAAGCAAAAGGCAATACTATGGTGTCTTTCTGCAGTGAATGTGGTGCTGACCTCTTCCTGGCCCTGCTAGGCCCATCTGTAGCAACCGTAGAGGCCAGTGGTAATTAAAGCAACAGTGTTCAGGAAAAGTGTGAATTATTTTTACAGGAAGGCTTGGATGCTGCTACTGACTGACAAAGCACAGTAGGGGAACTGGATATTAAAGAGTGATAGTAGCTACATCATTGTGAGGTAGTTTGCAAGAAAAGTACAAAATTGAGACTTTTTACAAGTTTACTGGCATGTAAAGAAACATTTTGTGTTCTCAGATTGACAGGGAGACAATAAATGTTTGGAAAAGGTGCAGAGTGCTAAATCACCATTTATACATTTATTTTTGTTTTTATCAAGATAAAAGAACAAAACACAAAAATAGTAAAAATGCAACTGCATTCAAAAACCATTACGAAAGTGTTTAAAATAAAAAAAAGATTATACAAAAGATGGACTCAAAATTCAGCAAGGCCCCCAGTTGACTTGATTAAAGTCACTTTTTTATTATGATTGCTTGCCTTCTTTAGATCCCCCAAACTTCAGTAACATTATCAATTTAAAGCAATATTAAGCTGAAATATTGTATTTTAACAATATTTTTTCCTCATGTGCCTGCCTGCTCAATAAACCATAACAACTATTCAGGACAGAAATGCTGGTGTCCCACTGTTGACATTTTTGGCTTCCTTATTCCAAAAGGAATATCTTCTGTTCAAAATATCTACTATACTACACTTTCTCCATTATGTTTGGTGTATTCTATACCAAACTATCCACAATGGTACCTGGCCATTCTTAAGTGATAACTCAATTGTACTGCAATCACATGTACTCATAAAGGTGCTGAAATCTCTTATGAGATCTCATGCAGATATTGATTCATTAGCAAGCCATCATGTGAATGGTACTGTCCCAAATGAATGAAAATGTGGACTGATATCAAGAGCACTATGGTTTAACATCAGATCTGAATTTTTTTTTAATTTTTAAATGATTTAAGTGGCCACCCATCCATCTTCTCTCTCTCCCTCCCTCCCTCTCTCTCCCTCTCCCCCTCTCCCTCTCCCTCTCTCTCTCTCCCCAGTCCCAAGGGCCGTGGAAACCCAGGAGGCCAGGATTGAGGGGAAGATATGCATGGGGCCATTTCTGTGGTCATTCATAAGATTGCCAATTTTGTTCAATTTTGTACACCATTTACACAAACAGCAATCTGTGCAGCATACAATAAAACAAGCAGTTAAAATAAAACAATTAATCAAACACTCATAAATAAAACTGCAGGAGAATGGACCAGAATTCTACACACACTATAATCATCTAGCAAATTCCCCATTTTCACTGGGATCCCCAAGCCTGCTGAAAGAACCATGTTTTCAAAGATTTGCTAAATGCCAATACAATTGGGTTAATCTTACCTTGGGTGGAATAATGTTACAAAGGGCATATTTATCCATACTCCCCCCTACCCTGGAATCTTGTCTGATGCCACACCTAAAAGCCAGCAAGCCCAATTCAGAGAGGGAACACACAAACACACACTCATATTGCACCTAATCAGGGCTGGGTTGGCCCTCTCATCCACTATTACATCATGGATGAGGCAAGCCTTTATATAGACCAATTTGGCATTCAATAGCAACACACAAAATCCAGGCATACCGAAGCTCTAATAACCAGGCCTGAGTATAGAGTATAAGAGGTTGGAATACTCCACTGGTATTCCATACCAAAGCCATTTTCCCCAAGAATGGCTTATCTTTTGCTTCATCATGCCTCTCCCTACCTGTTCCTACCATGATGATTCTGCTGCTCTCTTCCTCTTCCCAAGATATATCAACCCGGCTCCTTTTTCTTCCTGCCTCAGATCAAAGGACTCCTTTACACAACAAAATGGTTGAGTGGAGTACCTATCAGACCCTAGCACCCAGGAGCTTCTGGTGAAATGAATGGTGGCTACTCTATGATCAGAAAAACTCTGTCTTTATATTCTTATATTCCTCCCAGGGAATATAAACAAGGAAAAGATATCAATTTCATGTTTCCAATAATACTCTGCTTGTGAGCTATTCTGCTGAATACAAACATCCTCACTCTGAAGGGAAAGAACATTAAATTGTTTGTAACTTTTGAGCGCAGAATTATTTTGACATTTAAACCTTAGTCAATTGCACAAAATAAAAAGAGAGGGATAGGCATCTATTCGTGTTGGCATCTCAACAAGGAACTGTGGCATCAAATAGCTGAAATTCCCATTTTAAAGAACAATGGTGCACTGTGCCCACATTTTCACTGCAATTGATGCTGTGTGAATTTTGCATAAATTCTCTTTCAGCCAGCCAAGTTTTCTTCTATGCTAGAGGGAATTGATTTGCAGGACAAAGAGAGAGAGAGAGGGAGAGGGAGGGAAGGAGAGAGGGAGGAGGGGAGAGGAGGAGGGAGGGAGAAGGGAAGATGAATCCCATTGCCCTGCAGGGAATGACGCATTGTGTCAGTAACATATTCAATATACTTTTTGGAATATCATTCTGAGAAGGGTGTGCTTCTTTGATGCTACAAACTGCCTTGTAATCATTAACTGCTTATTCATTTTATTAATTTTTAAAAGAATCCTGAATTTCACCTCATGGAATTGGATGGGTTTAGGGGAACTGTACCCTTAACACTTTATGTGTCCCCCTGTTTTGTGATTTAAGAAGCATTGCTAACAATGTGGTTTTGTGCCATTTCAAGCAGAAAGACAAAATATGGACTTAATACAGTTAAACACAGCCCAAGCCTCCAAAATTTTGCTTGATAATGATGTGTAGGTGATTTTTTTTCCTATTCCCATGGTATGACTGTCCCACAAGACAGATAAGATAGACTTAAAGTTTTCTAAGCTGACTGAATAGATATACAAACAATGAATTTCTGAGTTCTTGATCAATAGTCCACATACTACACAAGCTTGTTTTGAACTATCTAGTCTATCTTGTCTATCTGTTTTGATAGACTAGTCTATCTAGTCTCAGACAAATTCAGTGTGAATCCTAGAATGTATCGTTATTATGGTTGTTCATGAAATCAGCTAGATGTTTAGCCTGAATTAGTATTTTTGTCTATTGTGAATTGGTATTTTTGTCTATTGAGGTCTTCCCAAAGACCTGGGATAAGTAAATGTATTATTATTATTTAGATTTATTTATCACCATAATCATTAGTTTTATACCCCACCTTTCCTTGAAATTTATGCTATGAATTCTATCTTTGATATGGAGCACCCCTCACTGTTAACCCACAATAACTCTGTAAGATAGCTTGGGCTAAGTAAGAGCCACTACCCCAAATCATCCAATGGACTTCCATTTCAGAGATGGTTGCGTCCTAATCCAGTATATTATTCGACCGGTGACATTAGAAATATTAAGATAATAAGGCCACTGACTAGCTGCAGAACATAGCTAGTCAATGTTATGTCAGAGCTTTTCTCACTGTGGGAATTGTGGAAATTATAGAATTCCCACAAGCCAAGGCATATCATGATGGCATTCCAGATTCATGAGCGATTGAATCTGAAAACCTGAAAAATTGCATCTGAAAAGTATTTTCTTTTTTTCATACTAAAAAACAATAATATCAACAAGTATTTCCACGGTACTTTCCATAACCTGTTAGCTTTCTATTATTGTCTAGCGACAACTGTATTACATCTATAATATCACATAACTTTGCACTAAGGATTGCACGCAGTCAGTTGTGCACACCCTCATTTTCATGCCCATTCATCCATTCCAATATATCTTCCCAACAAGCCTCTGCAGATCATTAGAATTAGCATAAGAAACAAGAAGGCCA